CTCTCTCTCTCTCTCTCTCTCTCTCTCTCTCTCTCTCTCTCTCTCTCTCTCTCTCTCTCTCTCTCTCTCTCTCTCTCTCTCTTGTGTGCGTGCGTTCACTCGTTTGCAGTGCATGTGCAGCACTTCGACAAGTGAACGTGGGGAACGCTTGACGCGCACTGCACGACTGTGTCGCGTGCGAACGCTGCCCCCGCTATATATCGCCCCGAGACGAAACGCGGGCCTTTTTTTTTTTTTTTTTTTTCGGGACTACGACCTCCCCACAGCCTCCCCTGAACACCGCCAATGCTCCAGTGGCCTCAGAGGCACCCCCCAAGCCCCGACAGACCCCTGCGCGAACGCGTCAATAGCGTTTAGAGGCGTTCAGTGAACGCGCGTTCACTGCGTTCAAAAACTAAACGCGGAATGCGCGTTCAATGAACGCGCGGTAACATAGCAACCGATCATGGTTGCAGCAGAAGAAATGGAACGAAAGTTCGCGGTGAACTTCCGGGAAGGAGAAGACTATTCTAGGGAAGGAGATTCGTCTGAACTTGCGAGAGCGAGAGCTGAGCTGGCCGCATTACAGAACAAGTTTGAAAATATGGGATTTGTGTCTGGCCCAGTCACCTATCTAGAACATGTGGGCCCTAAATGACCAACCCCAAGTGAGATTCTGATTGTCCCTGTCCCTGTGATGCCAACACCTGTAAGAACGCCCCCCCCGCCACCAATCGAGAATCCAGTGAGAACAAACGAGTCCACTGCCATCTTCGAACTAACCAAGACGTTAATTAACCTAATACAAGAAAGCAAAAAGGAACAGAGAAAGCACAACGCTCGGTTGGAAGCCATGATGAGAAACATGAGGCCCATCGCAGTACGTGCCTCTCCAATCCAACAAGAGCTGGCCCCGGCGCCTGCTCTCGGGGAAGCCGCGAACAATCTGAATGTCTGTTATGCATGCCATCAACCAGGACATCTAGCCCGTGACTGCCCCCACCGGCCGCCGCAACAGCGGATCGAGTCGCACCAATGGCAGCGACCCCCATGGCTAACGAACCAGGGAGGGTAGGAGCTCTCATGGAAGAGATGGAAGGTGTGGGAAGTGCGGTAGCGACCACGAAAGAAGTTGTCGAGCTTATTCCATCAAATCAGTATGTATCGCTGGGCTATCCCGGACTCGGAATGATCAGAACGATCAGGCCAGCACCAAAACAGAAAGAAGTGGCGGAGTGGCGACCCTCTCCAGGAGAAATGAAGTCGGGAGGACCCAATTTCGTCACTGGGGAAATAAATGTACTGAAAATCGTCCGAGCTTTGGACCATCGGATTCCACTCCCGATCGGCCATTTGCTCTCGATCTTTGAACAAACTAATGAACGGATGTTACAACACTGCAAGGCGAATCAGAAACGATTCGCCCTCGCTCGAACACCAAACATAAAAGTTAAAGGCCCCACGCCATACGAAAACGCGATTGGCACGTCTGATCCAATACGGGTAGGACTAATACAGAAAGATGATCATTTTCTACAGATTAAACCCATCTCCTGGAAATCTGCGGAATGCGATATCGAAATCTGGGGAATTCCGTACAATGCAATCATCGATTGGGGAACCGCTGTTTTGGCTATCTCACTGAGAGTTGGGAGGGCAGGTAGGGAAAACGACCTGATCATGCTTTCAAAAAAAGATCAGCTCGTATCGGCAGATGAAGAGAAGATTAAAACGGTGGGAAGAATGACCAATGTCGCTTTCCGATTGGGAAAGGTGCATGCACTAGGAGATGTCGTGGTGCTAGATGTAAATACCTACGACGTTCTTTTCGGACTTCCCGCTCTTGTGGCATTGCAAGCGAACCAGGATTTCAAGCGACGGTCAATCATCCTCCGAAATACGGGAGGAAAGCCCTATGCTGTACCGATGAGACTGACCCTTCGTTCTACCATCAACGCCGTTCCGCGAGTTTCGTTGATGTTAGTGGGGACTCTCCGTATGATCGCCTGGGAAGACTCTGCAGATGATGAGCCATCATCGAAGGATGCGGATAGCAGTGACGAAAATGATCCGGAAATCTTGAAGCTAGCGCGACAGCGTATTTATTACCCGCCGCCCCAAACGATCGCAAGAACAATGCACCTAACTAATCGGAACATCCAAAGAACCAAGGCGATGATTTTGGGTGAACCCCTCGTACAGATTTCGAGGATGGTCGATTCTTTGGAACCCCCTCAAACCCTGTACGAAGGAATCTCCCCTCTCCTCGCCCGATATAACGACAAGAAACACTATTGCGATATAACAGATCTACCCAAGTCCCTACTGACACCTGCAAAAGAGGTATGACTGTTACGCCTAGGGGCGGAGGCAAGTTCTTTGGAACCCCCTGGGCGTCTCGAAGCCGAATCAGACGAACTTGGAATAAAGATCGCAACTAAAACGGTGCCATGGCAAGATATCTGCGATGGGATCACCTCGGAAGGACACGTGGTCATCCGGGAGGAAGATGCCCAGATGATGGCCACAGTGTTCTCCTGGCGATCGGACCATTCGTTCATTTCTGCATCACCCGATGTGGCGAAACAAGCATGCACAAAGCAAATCAACGTACGAATCTGAGACGAGCCTTTTGAGTTACACGTTCCACAATACGTACCTGATGAGATACACCGAGTGATTGCAAATATCCTGATAGAATATCAGGGAGCGACTAGCGTAACCGACACTGACATTGGCTTGTCGTTGGTTATTCAACACGAAATTCAGACGGGAAATCATTCTCCCATCCACTGCAAGCCTTATTGTTATTCCCTAATAGAACGGAAAAAGGCTCTCGAACAAATTCGGGAATTCGAAGCCAGCGGGTGGATTGAACCGGCCACTGGACCATGGTCATTTCCAGTAGTGTTAGTACCGAAGAAAAACGGATCAATTCGCATATGCATCGATTATCGCAAGCTGAATGAAATCACGATTAAAGATTTGTATCCCCTCCCCCGGATTGATGATTTGCTGGATGCGATTGGATGCGCTAATTATTTTAGCAAGTTTGATATTCGGCATGGCTTCTATCACATTCTAGTTAAGGAGGAAGATAGGCCGAAGACGGCCTTCGTGGTGTTTGAGGGCACGTGGCAGTGGGTTCGGTGTTCGATGGGGATTTGCAACGCGTTTGCCACGTTTCAGCGGGCGATGAACATGACATTCCAGAACTTCGTCAACAAGACGCGACTAACTCCGGGAATGATCAACTTTTGCATGATCGTATACATGGATGACATCCTTGTCTACTTGGAGGCCTATCACGGGCATGCACAACACATTGAGTGGACGCTGGGAGCACTGAGGGAGGCTGAATTCAAGATCGCACTCGAAAAGAGCGAATGTTTCCTTTTGGAAATTTCGTTCTTGGGCTACGTCGTGACGCGTGGAGGACTGCGGCCTGACTCGAGAAAGGTCGCGGTGGTAAAAGAAGCTCCGGTTCCCACGTCACTGACGCAGGTTCGAGCCTTCTTGGGATTGACATCGTACTATCGACGTTTCATCAAGGGCTTCGCCGCGATTGCACGGCCACTAACGAACCTTTTACGAAAGGACCAACCTCTCAGTTGGGATGCGGAGTGTGAGAAGGTCTTCGCGACCCTCAAAGACGCTCTGGCGATGACACCTATTTTGATTCGACTGGACCCCTCGAAACAGTTCATTCTTATCACGGATTGGCAACCGGAAGCTATTTCCGCAATTCTAGCGCAGAAGGGCAACGATGGTCGCGAACATGTCATCGAGTACGAGTCGCGCATGGTGCCAGACGAGAGGAGGAATGAGTCAGCACCCCAAGGCGAATGCTATGCAGTAGTCTGGGGAATCCAACACTTTCATCTGTATCTTTACGGGCAGAAGTTCCGCCTCGTGACGGATCATGAGCCCCTGCTGGACTTGAAGAAGCTCACTAATTACACGGGCATGATTGGACGATGGGCGGTACGGCTACAGGAATATGACTTCGACATCGTCCATCGGAAGACAGAAAGGCACGACAATGCGGACGGACTGACACGTCTGCATCAGCCCGCTAAAGTACCGAAGGGCGAGGAAATCACCCCGTGGAAGGAGTCGGAACCGGCAAACGGGCCGAAAAACGGACAAGTGGCAGTTCTCCCACGTGGCACGAAGCAGACCAGTGGCAATGGGTGACGGAGGTAATCTCACTACCCCTCTTTCTCCCATCTCCTCTTCATCTATTCTCTCCCTTCCTGATAAATTTTGCTATTTTTGCGAAGCAATTTCTCGCGTATACTCTGTCTCCATGTGTCCTAACGGGGAAGGGTATGCGGAATGGATAGACTGCCGATAGTATGTCGCACGAGCCCATGGCTCGTGCATCCAATACCGAAGCGACAACAAATTGTGGTTATGCCCCTTGTGTCGGGTTGACAAGATCCCGACCGAGGGTCGTTTTTGGACGCCACGTCAGAAGGGTTGGAAAAGACTCGAAAATTTCGAAGGGCCGAAGTGTGGACCGACATCGCTCTGATTGCCACCTTAGTCGGTAACCCCTTCCAGGATTTCACCAAGGATGATCGGAGGAGGGCTAAGGAAAGGGCTCGGGATTATCGATGGATAGAGGGTAGGTTAGAAAAACGAAAAATAGACGGCAGTGGGATTTGGATGGTTGTACCGCATTTGTTCATGAGGCACCACTGGGTAAAGACAGCACATGAAGAAACGGCAACCCACTTTGCCGTACGGATTACCGAATCATTAATCGATAAAAACGAGTGATATTGGTCCAATATTCGCGACAACGTGAAATTCATCGTCGCAAATTGTCAAGTCTGCGCTGCTGACAAGGCGCCGATCCAGCCGCCAAGATCGATAGTTCCAACGGTAGTTGAACGGCCGTTCCAAAGGGTGAGTATGGATACTACTGATATCGTGGTACCCCCTGGTCCTAATAGTTGCGAATATTCAGTCCTGTTGGTATTCGTCGACCATTTTTCGAAATGGATCGAGGCCTACCTCTGTCGTACGTGACAAGTTGCCGAAATCGCGCCGTATGTTAACCGTTTTCTCGGGATGCACCAGGATACGGAAGAAATCCTGACCGATAACGGGGCATAATTCAGAGGGGAAGTATTAAGGAACCTGGTCATACACGGTGTCGCTGTACAGAACACCGCGCCCCATATGTCACAATCTAATGGACTGGTAGAAAACGCCAAGAGAGTGGTAAAGACAGCGCTGTTCGCAACATCGCGGCACAGGACCCGAGGCCCTGGCCCGATATCATCGACCACATCCTAGCGGTCCATCGCGGAACGCCCTACGAATCGACAGGCCTGAGCCCTTCTAATTAAGGACCAATAACGTCACTTGCATTTCGATACCAAGCCTCCCCGACGAATCAACCGACGGCCCACAAGGGTCACAGCGCGAGACAAGGCCAAGCGGCACCTAGAGTTAATGGAACGGTCCCTCCCCAGGCTAGCCCGAAAACGCCAGAAAATGACCGAGTTGGCCCATGGCCGACAGGTCCGAAGCTACGAGGCCCGGAACGGGAACGCAGGTCCGCGGCCCCAGTACAAATTGGGGGACATCGTGCAGGTGAGGAAATGTGCTCGCCAAGGCAAGCTAGCGCCACGATTCTTCGAGTGATTCAACTCGGACCCAATGGCGTGAACACCGTGCGGCTTGCGCCTGAGGTCTCCGGCAGCCGATTGGCTCATTCGATCATTTGCCACGTGTCCTACCTTCGTCCCCTCCTTCCTTCTCCATCCTCGCATTCATCTGAATCCTCCTCCGCTGCGGAAGAGGACGACGACTGCTTATCGCCTGCCTCTCTGTCTCCTTCTCGTTCTCTCTCTATCACTCCATCGTCATCGCCATGAGTTTTCTTACGGAGCGAGCTCTCGACAATTCTCTGTAGTGCCACGGTGTCACATCTCGACGATTCGACAAGTTCATCATCCGCGGCTCAATCTAGATCTTCGCCGACTTGCGCAGTTCTTCTGTACCCGGGGAGTGTACGTGGCTGCTGAGTTTCGTTTTGCAGGAAGTACCCGGGCGGTTGTTTTAGCGGAGGCGGTAGGAGTTCATCGGCGATCGGCTCCAGGAATCAGCCACGTGTCTACGGTGGTCGCCTTCAGCGGCGACATCAGCACAATCAGCCCGCTACGGCATACAGCTATCAAGACGACGCTCCGATTGTGGGCACATCAGTTGGTGGCGGAGTGGAATCATTGGCTCACGCCCCACGGAGACAACCTCTTTCCCACGGACGGCGTCGATTTCGACGGAATCCAAACCTTCCAGCACAAGCCAGCGGTGGCGTTCCCGGAACTTGTTCCCTTCCCCCGTCCTCAATGAACCCATCCCCGATCTCCACTTTCGACTCCCTCCTTCTTCCCCACTTTCTGGCAGTCCGGAGTCCATCTGCATCTTTCCTTTCATCTGCAATCACTTGCTGTTCCCCTCCTCGAACCCCTGCAGTGGAGGCGTTGGCGAGAGCACTTCATTGAGTTGTCGGTGTGTCTGGTCGCAGTAAGGGTCACATGGACGCAGCACGAAGATCACCGTCAGTGGGCCGAGTACCTCGAGCTGCTTATCATCCAGGCGTGGCGAACAAAAGTGGAAGGCGATCTGCTCGGATTCCTCTTCGGATCGGTGCGGCCTGATCACCGCCAACCGATCATACACGAGTTAACGGTCCCCCTTGCACAGCTGGCTGACGATCTCCCTCTTGAGATCGTCTCGCAGAGTGACGACAGCCCAGTGTCGGAGGGCACGGCGTCCCGGCCCTCCTGTGTACCAAGTCCCTACATAGTACCCGTTTTTCTGCTCTGGTACCTGGATCGTTTCTCGGCATGGACAGGTCCCGGTGGCGTAGACCTCAGCAAAAGTGGTGCGCCACAGGACTTCCATTGGTCCACGCAGGCTCGGCGCCCTGTTGTACAGCAGAGCACAACCGGCCTGTGGCCGTGGTAGTCGCCGGGTTCACCCTGGGACGCGGAAGCGGCGGAAGCGGGAAGGTTGGCCTAGTCTTTTCAACTGCGCGCCAAGTGCCCCTATACAGTTTTATGGGTTAGGTGCATGAAAAACAGGTTGCTGTCGGAAGGAAAAATTGAGCAAAGGGGCAGAAGGAAAATGAGAAAATAAAAACAAGAGAAAAAACGGAAACGCCCCATTGGCACGTGGATCAGGGCCGTTGCTTTAGTCCGGAGTAATCCAGTAACAGTTGTAAGCTGTGTCTTTTGATTTCCCTTCTTTATTATTATTACTGCTATTATTATTATTATTATTATTATTATTATTATTATTATTATTATTATTATTATCCTGCAATCAGATGCAGATTTTCTTCGTTTCCGGTCACTTCGCGGAGAGGTCAGTGGTTCGAGTTCTGAACGTGACTGCAATATGTGGCCCAGACTGGTCAGGTTTGTCATTCTCGAATCGACGGTTGGAGGTACGTTCAGGCGCCGCGCGGTAGGACCCCAAAAGAAGGGCGACCCGCGGCCGCATCGGTAGGAAGCTTATCACCCCTGGGAGGGGTCATAAGCCACACGGGTACCCGACGGGAATAAGAACTTGTACTTTTAAGAAGAGAATATGATCACTGGTATCCCGTTATGGGACCACCACCTCAGAATAGCAGTCACTTCTTAGTGAGACGAAGCGACAGGGACCGGTAGCAGAAGGGTTGTGGATATCGCGCCCATAAGTTATTTTCTTTCCTTTCTCTTGGTTTTCTTTTGTGTAAGATCACAATTTTAAAATTATCCCGTTTATTTTCAAATTTTCACCAAGCCTTGAAGTTTCTCGCTTAGAACGTAGGTATTTCGGTATGAGGCAGATCTATAAAAGACAACAGACGGGGCGGGGGTGAACAGGGTGAACTATCCCGCTACGTTTAGTGTTGCTGGTCTGAGGGCCTGATAGTGGAGCGGTGAATAGCCTGGGCCATCTGAGTGTGTGCACCTAGGGGTGGGTCCGTGGCTATCTCTGAGTGCCTATGGCGTTGCATGGGTATGGACCCTGCTACTGGTACCACCAGATTCGGTGGAAGCCTATGTCCGGGGAAGGGCCCTGGATCACGGCGATACTCAACTACGACGGGGGAGACGAGCTAAAACTGAGGATCAACGTAGAGGGAGGAAAAGAGGAGGAGATGCGGACTGATGGAAGGCTACAGGACGCTATCACAGAGATGAAAGACCATGTGGAGAGGCGCTACAGAAGAGACGGTGTGACAGCGAAAATGCAGGTAACAGTCTCGTATCATGAGACCGAGACCTCAATGGACACGGCGGACTGGGAGCAGGCCCACCTGGAACGAGACTCAGGTGGGGAGAGCGAGATGAGTGAGGCGGAGGACCGGGAGACGGACTTTAGGTCCTGAATCAGACCGGGCGAGATCCAGAGGCATCATTGGGCTGCAAAGCCGGTGGAAGAGGGACCTGAGGCCAGCTCACGACAGCTGACGCCCAGAGGCCGTGGAGCGGGTGAGAAGCCGAGCAAGGGGAAAAGACAGGCATGAAAGCACACGCGAGAGAGAGAGGGAATGGACGAAACTCGAAACAGAGAGGCAAGTGTAGTGGGACGGACACTCTTGGGTACTCAGAGGTCAACGCGTGTGAAAGAGAGAGAGGCGCGAACGTCTCTCAACGTCGTTGATGCCAACAACTGTTTTCAAATTCTTGTATGGAGAGTGCGGAGGAACGAGGGCGGGACGGATTCGCTCGGAAGAAAGCCGACGGAGAGGACTGACTTCTTACTTTTTCTTGAGCGGTATGAATGCGTGGCAAGTGACCAAGGGTAAAGTGGCTAGGGACGGCAAGAGGTGATTACTCGCGTTCGCTTTACACGTGCATGGTGCTTAGAGCCACGAGAGAGGGAGGGAGATGTAAGAAGTCCGAAGGACAGAGTCACTGTTCTCTTCTTGATGCGCATTAGCCGGCGTTATGGGGATGAACACGATTGATGTTGGCTACCACCTTCGTTTCAGTAAAACGTTCTCTCCCACTCGATGACTACGTCATGGCAATGCTGCAAGAAGGGCTGTATGAAACACGAGCTATGCACGCGCGCGCGCCTCTCCAGTAATGATACCATCACTTATAGCTAGCGACGCATGCACATTGAAGAGATGTGATACTATCAAGAGTTAGTGAGAGGGATGACTCGACACCCGTAGGCCAAGGGGTGTGCTATATTGTCTGCGTGTGAACTGGTTCGGGGGAGCGAGGACGATGTAAAGACCGGTTGGAAAGAAGGTT